TCCGCTCGCACCACCAGCCGAGCGCGCGAAAGTTTGAAAAATTGTTACACAAAGAAAACGTTAACCCTTTTTACGTTAGCCGAATAAAAGAAAATCCATTACAAAATTATTGTTAGTAATTAAATACGTTATTTCGATCTAGAACTACTTACTACTCTTTGTTCTAAGTTTCACGGTCTTGTGCGTTGTTGTCGTCCGTCTTTGCTGACGCTGACCCTACAAAACCCCCAAGGAGGAACAAAATCGGGGACCAACACTTATGAGTTTCCTTGTGAGACCAGGCAGTTGTTGGGCGAGTGAGCGGTGACGTGGTGATCACCCTCGCTTTGGACGTGCGCTAGACCGAGAAACCAGAGGTGCTCGTCGTTAGAGTCGAGGGGGGAAGTTAGAACGATCAACTAACGCACTCTCCCCTCGCACGCGCCAAACCCCCTGGTATAGACTGGATCGTCTGAAAAGTGTGTCCATCCTCTGCGCGTCCTCCGAACGGGGGGGGGGGGGGGGGGGGCGCGGGGGGGGGGGGGGGGGGGGGTGCGCCGTGGGACGTGGGCAGCAGCGGGCCGACACGTCTGCGGTCACGTATCGTATCGTGTTCAACGGTATCTCCAGCACCGGCGGAGCGGAGCGGCGCGGCGCTACCCCGCGCTGCAGTGACCGCCCCGCTGGACCAGCGGTCGCTCATTACCTTTGAAAAGAGATACCGGGGACTCGGCCGGGGACGGGGGTGGCATCTCCTCTGACGCCGGAACGCGCATCGGCAGAGGCGCGGAGACGCGTGAGGTGAGCTGCGCGCGAGCTCTCTGCCCTCCACCCACAGCACCCCCAGGACACCGAGAAAGACCATACCGCTCCTTAATGCCTCGTATGTTGTCAGAGGAAATCAGCAAGATTCGACCATTCAGACCTTTTCAACATTAAAAAACAACAACACAGGAGTCTTTTTTCTTCACCAGCCTGAAGCAATGATACAAACTTTTCCCTCTCTCTCCGAACCCACCCCGCCGCGGTGTCCAGTGTCCGAGCCAGTGTCCGCTTCCGCTTCCGACCCCGTTGTTGTCCACGTCGGGACAAACACACACACTCTCTCTCTCTCTCTCTCTCCCCCCCCTCTCTCTCTCTCTCTCACAGGCACACACTCGGTACTGACGTGAGTGGGGACAATAGTGTCGCGGCCTCGGCCCGCGCACGGCGTAGGCCCACGGGTCCGCCACTCCCTGGAGGTGCATCCGGGAGTCACCCCCACGAGATAAGCCCCGCAGTGTAATTATTAGGTCATGTGTCCGTGTCCGTGCGTTGTATCGGGGCAACTAGCTCTGCC